AATCCTACCTATCGCACTTGATTTAGTAAGGAAATAATAAATTGGAACTTGTTTCAAAACAAATTGAAAACGAATAAATTATAATGGGATTTGTGGCTGTGTTTAGAAAGGATGTAGAGTCGCGCGGGGTCGAAACATGCTTTTTTTAGTAATTTATCTAGCCTTGAGATGCTTGTTACTGGCAAGTCACCTTTATCCCCGATCAAAATTATTGTCAGTTTGCTCATCGGAGTGCTTATTACAAACAGCTTATAATTGTTGGGAAGAGGAGGGGAGTTTTGACTAGCGAAACCGCACTCGATTTTATCATCCCGATCAGTGCTAGAGATCAAATTACACGATCCGTAATAAAGAGTGCCAGCGCAATTTCTCAACATTTGCCGTCACATACAGCCCGCCTGTTCTGTTCCCTAAGATATTTAGCTAACCTTAGTAGGTGGAGTGTCATCAACCAAGACTGGTGTAGTAGATGCTCTTTCTGTGACAAGTCCAACTTTGTTTTCGCATCTCACAACGGTGTAGTACCTTTCACCTGCCACTAACAGGAGCCCTGTTGCTGCTATGGTTGTTTTCAAACCATTATTTACAAAGTCGCCAGTCAAGTCAGTACTGTTTCGTATGGCATAACTGCATGCTGTCACACCACTTTCAGCATCCTGGAAGAAGGTTACGTTAGAGACCAGGGTGCAGTTTGTCACACACGATGTTACATCAGTGGCCGGCAGCACCTGACCAACAGACGGTGGAGTGAGGTCCACTTTTACTTCGTCCGTTGTTGCCAATGCAGACAGCCCTGCTCCGTTCTGAACTCGTATGGTAATGTAATATGTTTCTTGGTGTCTTAACTCACAGTCATTGCAAGTTATTCCTGTTCCGTTGTTGGTTAGTTTGGTCATGGATTTAACCTGACAGCCATTGGATGAAGTTCCTACGCAAAATTCAGTTTTGGATATGCCACTTTCGGGATCTAGGGATTTCCAGGATGCTGTAAGTTTCCCTCCGGGTCCAAGCCACAAGCGAGAACCCCGCGAAAGCTAAAAGAGTGCAAAATAGAATGCAAATATCACTCAATTTCATAAGAAGGGTCCTGCACTCAGCTACATCTTGAAACTAACGATTTTATATCTTGGTAATACTCTATTAAGACTTAAAGTAAGTCAAATACGTCGTGGGGGATGAACCTAAAATTAGATTTGAATCTATGAGTTTGACTGTGAGATATCTGTCTCCCCACTGCTCAGCATTTAACAGACTGACAGTGCGTTGGAAGGGATCAGAGACATCTATGAAGTAATAAACAAGGCGTCACACAATGCTGCTATGCAGCTCACGAACGAGTTCATTAAGCTACGACAGCCAAAGTCAGCGAGACAAAGAGAAACAAATATGTCATTATGCATGCTTGTGCCTAGAGCGACTCACTGTTACGCCAACAATTAATCAACTTATTCATACCTCTGTCAATTCAGGGGGTGAGTTATCGACGATGAAGCCATCAGACCATCCATGTGACGTCATTCCAGCACCATTTGTGGCCTCAACTGTAATGTAGTACCTTACCCCATGTGTAAGGGTAAGGTTCTCCGCAATTGCTGAAGTCTTCATGCCGACGTCCTTAAACTCTAAGACGTCAACATTATCAGGGGTAGTTCCAAGGCCCCAGCGGTATTTTGCTAGACCGCTCTCGTGGTCGCGGAATGGTTCCCATATTGCCGTGACTGCCGTTGTTGAGAATTGAAACTGAATATCAAAGAGGAGAGATGATCCGTCGTGAATTAGACCAGCATTTGGTGGAGTGACGTCGACAATAACACCATCAGAAGATGAAGTGCTACTGAAGCCATCACCGTTTGTACAGGTTACTCGACTGATGTAGCGAGCGCCGGGAACAAGACTAACATTTCCCGCAGTAAAGTTCCCACCGCTGTCCACGGCTTTTCGCACAACAACTGTGTCATTTCCAAAAGAGGAACTGTTATCCGACGCTGACTGTTCTATCAGTGCCCAAGAACACCCAGTGACACCGGATTCTTCATCTTTAAAACCTCTCCATTGAATTGCAAAGGTACTCGTTGAATTTGTAAAGTCGATATCCTGGCAAATTCCGTCTATCACAATACCCAAGGACGGTGGTGTTGTGTCAAATATCAGCTTTTCGGACGACATAACAGATGTTAAACCAGCTCTGTTTACAACAAACACAGTCACATGGTATGCAGCACGAGTTTGGGGCATAAATGGGCCAATGATACCTGAAGTAGACACACCTGCGGGTATTGTCTCAGCCACACAAGTAAGAGGTGTTGTTCCCAAACAGTATGCACTGCTTTTTATACCGCTTTCATTGTCTTTAGTCTTACTCCAGGAAACATATATTTCCACACTTTTTTGTTCTTGGTCCTTGACTTCGTGATGTGTGGTGACCTCTGTTATAAAGGGTGGGGAGGAGTCTACTGTAAAACCATTAGAAGAGCCCACACTACTGAGTCCTCTGGCAGAGATGGCTTTTATTGTATTGTAATACTTTTGTCCTGAGGTTAAGACATCGAGGCCTGGTGCGTTGGGTACCAGGTTTTTCTCAACATTTGTGGGCAGGCCAATGCTACTGAAACGCGAAACGTCGTCTTTACCAGGAGCTGTTCCTATGCCCCACGCATAATCAACGACTGGATCAACGGCATCGTCCATGAAAGGATCCCAATGAGCACCAACTCTCTTTGCGCTGGTTAGATAGTACAGGTCAGCACCCTCCGCTGATCCGTCTCTGACATGCGTTGGAATGGGCCAGACATATTCTACTCGAAAGCCATTGGATCGAACAGTATTCTGCATACCCGCGTTATTCCAACATGTCAGCACATTGTGATAAGTGATGTTTTTGATGAAGGGAAGATCCGCGTATCTTTGAGAATTCGAAAAAGCTTTCCTTTTACCATAGGTTGAGCTATTGGCAATGTCAACTTGTTGGATTTTGCTCCCATCTTCGCCCACGGTTACCCACATGCATGATCGCACCCCACTTTCGGCATCTTCAACGCCAAACCAAGACATAGAAACGTTCCAGTTCACAAGAACGACGTTATAGTCTACTCCTGCTAAATCGTTTCCGTCGATGACGTCACCCATTAGCGGTGGACTTACATCCAAAAGCATTCCATCAGAGCTGCGAGTCACAGAAATACCAGCTCCATTAGTCACGTGCACCGTTACATACACTCTCTCCCCTGCATATGCATGACAGGTCGGACAGGTGAATGATAAGTTGGCTCCAACACTTGCCATTGCTTTTATCTGACAGCCTCGAGGCTTGGTCCCTAAACAATACTTGCTTTCCATAATGCCACTCTCTGGATCTCTTACGTCCTCCCAGTAGGCTTGAATAGCCATGTTTGGAGAAATGTATTCGATGTCATCCCCACCTACGCCATCGTGGATGTCACTGTCAACAGCTAATGGAGGAGTTGTGTCTATAATGAGTCCAAGCGAAGATACGTTTTTACTTAAACCCGCAAGGTTCGTTGCTATAACTGTTACGTAATAAACGTTCGCATGGGAAAGGCTAAGGTCGTTCTTGGTGACCTGCGTTGCTAGTTGTACGTTCTCAAAGCTGACGATATCGTCTTGGAACGGCTGAGTACCGATAGCAAAACGGTAATTCAGGACAGCACTCTCATATTCGGCAAACGGAGACCATGTGGCTACAATGGATTCTGTGTCTGACTGATATTGAAAGGATTGATTGCGTGATACCCCAGCTTTAATGGGACCTGTCTGAATAGGTGGCGTGTTATCGACGGCAAATTCGACAGTTGAAAAAGCAACGAGACCTGCATTGTTTATGCAAACTACACTGACATTATAACTTTCACCATGAAGAAGAACACTCGAAATCAGCGAAACATTACTCGAAGATGCATTGCTCTTCTCAAGAAAAAGAAGTTGTACCGCTGTGTCCCTAACGGATATATTGCAGCTTTTCACGCCACTTTCCATATCGTTAAACTCGCCCCAGGAAACAGTGATACTACTGTTGCTGACAAATGTTTTCCTTCCATTTCGACCTGATGATTGTCTAACTTTTACTTCTCCCGGATTCGGTGGTGTGCCATCAAAGACCAATGCATCCGAACATGATCGCGAGACGAGACCAGCTCGGTTTCGAGACGTTATAGTGACGTAATATTTTACACCGGGCGTAAAGATTAGGTTCGTCATCGAAGTGTTGGCGTAGGTGGACCGGCCAATGTTTATGAATGGTTGAACTTGAGTTCCACATTTACTCGTACCTATGGCCCACTTATAGTACCAAAGTTCACTTTCAGGCTCGGAGAAGCTCTTCCAGTAAACTGCAATGTCAGATTCAGAAGCCGAGTAGAAAGTGTTGTCTTGTTCGTTGTACCTCCACCCAGCCTGTGATCCAAAGCCTGGAAGAATTGTACTCGGTATTGGTGGAGTTGCATCTGCAATGACACCATCCGAAACCAGTTCCCTGACAGCGCCAGCCTGATTTTTCACTTTTAAATGCACATAGTATTTTGTTCCACTCAGTAAAGTAAGGACTCCTTGACTTCTGACATGTGTCGAAAGACCAACATCCGTGTAATCTTGAACACTGGTTTTGTCATTCGCGCTTGTACCAATACTCCACTCAAACTGTTGAATTCCACTTTCCAAGTCCCAGACTCCTTCCCAGTTTGCAGCCATATCTGATAGAGAAGATTGATACTTAAGATCTGGCTCAATGACTCCATCGTGCACGACACCATGGCTTGGAGGGCTAAAATCAATCAGCACTCCGTCAGAGCTCATACAGTCGCGCAGTCCAGCAAAGTTCACAGCGCAAACAGTAAAATAATATACATCGTCAGCCAGGGAAAGACCATTAACGGTGGCTGAGGTATTCAACCCTGCATTTTGAAAAGGAGACACATCAACAGCTCCTCCACGATTTCTGCTAACTCCATACTCATAATATTGGATTCCAGACTCAGGGTCGGCGAAACCATCCCATTCTGCTGACAGTGCCGTGGTATTTTCTTGATAGTCGATGTCTGAGCCTGAACTTCCGTCACGCACTTGAGCATTTTGTAAGCTTGGGGGAGTCACGTCAACCACAAAGCCATCCGTAGAAACTTCGGAGCTTATTAATCCAGCTCTGTTTTCAGCTTTTATTTTAATACAGTACTTTTGACCATTGACCAGTGTGAGATTTGTTAGCATAAAGGTAGTGGCCTGTGAAGGGTTAACCTTGAGGAAAGTATTTCCTGTCACATGATAGTTACCAGGGATACAGCTACCGACGGCAAAATAGTACTGCTTGACTTCAGTATGAGGTTCTGGGAACTTTGTCCAGGAACCATAAACATGCTTCACGTCTGCCTGATAGTCGATGTCTACTCCTGATGTTGGTCCATCGTTAACGTTTCCTTGGGATGGAGGTGTAGCATCGGGTATGACAGTGACGGAATGGGCATCTTTATACAGTTTAGCACCATTGTGTGCTCTGATGATGACTTGATACGGTTTTCCTTGAGATAGTGCTAAATTTGTAAACGTAGCTGAGGTCGACAAATGAGGTCCTGGCACTGAATTGAAGTCGGAGTTTGATGGTGATCTTCCAAGAGGCATGACAGCCCAATCGTAACGCCTGAGACCGCTGTGAGCATCAGAGAAGCCAGCCCAGTCAACTGACAATGACGAGACACTTGACACATAGACACATGCAGTTCCATTTATGAAGTCATCCTCGCCAGTTACTTTAACTTTACCAGTGAAAACTGGATGAGTCGTGTCCACGGTAACGCCATCCGTAGTGACGTCAGTGGTGAGACCAGCTGCGTCCATCGCTTTAACAGTCACGAAATACTTCGCGTTGTTTCCTAACGTCAGTCCGGTTTGTGTGACGTTTGTTGCTTTTCCTGTCGACGTCCAAGACACAACAACGCGTCCACTGCTATCTGTTACTCTGTATTTGTACTCTACGATTCCGCTCCCTTTGTTCCCGTCTGCGAAACCATTCCAGTTTGCTGCTATCAATGTATTGTCGGATTGGTAGTCTATATCAGTGAAGTGTCCGTCATTTACTACACCAGCTTGTGGAGCATCATGGTCAATTAGCACGCAGTCGGATTTGACTTGGGTAAACAGACCAGCCTCGTTGTAACCTCTGACTACCGCACAGTAACCTTCTTTAGAAACGAGATTCAGATTATTTGCAGTGGGAGAGCGGTTTAGAGCAGTTGTCTTAAATGACGTGATTAAACCACCTCCTATTCTCTGAATTGCCCAGGAATATCGTGAGATAGGGGAATGTGGGTCGGTAAAACGATCCCAGTTTGCACTGAACGTAGTAGTCCATTTTGCATACTTGAGATCTACACGAAGTTGACTTCCGTCATAGATCTTGCCAGCCACGGGTGGGGAAGTATCAATAACAACTCCATCGCTAGTGATGTCAGAAAACAAACCAGCTTTTGTGAAAGCGCGAACGACGAATGTGACCCTTGAACCGTCTGTGACGCCATTGAAGGTCTTACCTGCGTTAGTATTTAGATTTACGCTGGTAAAACCCATGAGCTCGGTTGTCTGGTTAGTGCTAAACGATTTTGAGAGAACTTTCCATTCATACTTGGCAACACCATGTCTGGTTTGAATTCCTCCCCAGTTTACTTGCAAGACTTTAGTGTCCTGGTAGCTCAAGTCAGCCCCAGCTCCATCGCGGATCCACCCACCTTGTGGTTTTGATGTGTCAATTGTGATCTCCCGGCTGCAGACCAGTTGTGCATTTTTCTTTCTCATATCAGAAGCTTGTATTGCAACTTTGTATTTGCTGTTATCTTGAAGATTTAGTCCAGTCAGCGTTTGTTGAAAGTTACCATTCGAAAACGTTCCTTTTACGCCGGACACGGTATTGCAAGCAGAGGATGCTGGTAGAAGGAACCACTTAAGTGTCAATTGGCCGCATAAAAAGGAGAATCCGGACATCCTTAGGTGAAGCTTACCGGTAGAGTGCTGAAAAGATATGGTTGTCTTAAATGCCTGGTCCTGAAGCTGTACAGTGCCAGTAGTCAAGGTAATGCTGTCTGTCTTACCGCCTGGGCATGTTCCAAGGCGTCCGTCACACCTGCAAACAATGATTCCATTAATAAGTACAATTTAGATGTAGTTTTATGATAATAATAATAATAATAATAGTAAGGTTTTTATGAGCGCATTTAAGAATCTCCATGCGCTTACATAGCATGATAAAAATAAAATATAACAATGATACTGACAGTCAGTAGTACCTACCCTAACAAAAAGTTAAATGGAATAAAAACCTATGAAGTGTTTCACAATACTAAACATAAAATTTCCGGAATAGATATGTTTTAAGGGCAGATTTAAAAGACGAAAGAGAAGCTGCAGATTTAAGAGAATCAGGAAGAGTATTCCATAATAGACCACTTTTATGAATGGCTGCAGGATTAATATTCTTTTGTTCAAATTTAAATTAGCCCTACAGGCCTCCTTCTCCAGTACAAAACTCAAAAGAATACATTATCTCAAGCGAGGCCAGTAGGGCTAATTTAAATTTAAACAAAAGAATATTTATACGGCAGCTATTTATGAAAGTGATCTATGTAGGTGCACAGAAAGAGAACGCACGTTCACCGTATGTCACAGAATTCATAGTGGGGACAGTAAGAAGTGATTTGGAAGATGAACGTAGAGTACGTAGTGGATGATATTAACAAGCAATCATCATTCTGTGAAGTGCTTTTCGTTAAAGTCGCTTCACAGCCACTAAAGCTTGGTTAGCAATGATTAACAAAAGAATCCTCTGTTATCTCTCACCGTTCAGGGCGATCACAGGCGTCCACAGCCGGGCGGCAGATTGTTCCAATTGGCCTCATGATCGCGCGGCAAGATCCGTCACCTACACACTGCGAGGTTTGAATACAGCTTGTAGAGGGATAAGATGCTTGGCAAGAGTAACCTTGTCCTACGCATCTAGAAAAATAACAAGCAAAGCAAATGTTATTAGGTGTCTTCAGTTAATGTTTGTCTGGGAATCATTATTGTTTATAATCATTGACATTGACGTTGAATCACCAAAATCATATTTTTGGGCGAGATGAGACACAGGGTACTGACCCCCTCTTTGTCAAGAAAGTGTTCAATCAACACGGTATGACCAAGTACTGTTAGTACAGTAATGGAGGATTCACCTCATGGAGAGTCATGCCTAACTTCCCTCCCTCTCCGAGTAGGTGAAATAATGTTTTCAAAATAAAGACTGAAGATGTTTCGATTTCAGAGTTTCCTCGATGGAACTTATTCGGCCATGAACTCGAAGATATTCGGGAGATCATTTCGTCTTTTTTTTTCGCAGCTATAAAGTAATACGTAGCGATAGTTACCTGCCAGCGTTGCACGTGTCTTGTTTTGAACATTTGTTTCCATCATCACAAGGTACCGCTGGACGATTGCTCCATGCACTGTTGGCTCGAGCTGCTGTATCGTACAAGTCACACCACTGACACTGATTTGATGGACTCACTGCTTGGTGGCTGTAGTCCCGGCCTAATATGGGGCGCCAAGTGTACAAATATTATTTACACAAAGTGTTGGTATAGCGTGTGTTATAAGGTATATTGCTGATAAAGTCGTCTGGTTATTTATAAATTAACAATTGTGTTACCTTGCCCTGACTTTTCAATTAAAAAATCGCGGCTTTGTGATTTAAAGATCGCAACAACAACACTTTGGGCTTTAGAAATCGCAAAAACACAACTTTGCGATAAATAAATCGCAAGAGACATGGCTTTGCTATTTGTAAATCGCAGTATTCCTTATCTTTGGAAACGTGCTATTAATAAATCACAAATGCAATACACAAATCACTGAAGTGTTATTTAAATCGAAAAAGTATGAGATATAAATCGCAAAACTGTGATATACTGTGTATAAATCGCAAAAATGCCGTTTTTGGATCGTATAAGTGCGATTTATAAATCGCAAAATTGTGATATATAAATCGGAAACATGAACTGGTGATTAAGAAAATAAGCTTGGTGTGCTCGTGATATAGCTCTTTTAAGCGACGACTAAAAAAAAGCGCCTCGAGATTAAAGGGACAAAAAAAGCTTACAACGTTGCCTGGTCTTCTTTGGCGCTTCAATTCCAGTTTGGATGCGATACACCCTTTATTTTATTCCTAGTATTGTGGGAGAACGAGTATAGCGTGGCATGGTCTTACTAACCTGCTATCTTGCACATGCACTTGCTGTTCACAAAACCAAATCCAGTTTTCAGACTGCAACTGTTGCCATTACAGTACTGACAATCTGAGTTGCAGTTGAAAGGTGTAGCTGTGCACTGGCCGCTTCGACACGTGTCTGCACGTGTACATGCGTTTCCGTCATCACATGCCACACCGTCTCTATTAGACCACGTGCTGATACTACTGCCAGGGTTACACCACTGAAAAAGAAACAGTAGCAAGAACAAACATTACCGTAATTGCAGCTTTTTTCTTTTGACTTTTAAGTGGCATTATTTTCGTCGTTGCGTGAACAGAAATATCCACCACCCTCAAAATGCGCCACCGGAGGGTTCACTGAAGATAGTTAAAAAAATAGGAAGAAACCAACATTATAGTTCGACCGGTGGCTTACTTGACAAGGATTCCCAGGCTTGTATTGGTTCTTGGCATAGCATGTCCTTTGGCCTCCTTGCAGTATTATGCAAAATCCAGATTTGATCGGACAGCCACTGCCGTCATGCGTTTCACATGATAGACAGTTGTAGGGCGTGCAGACGCACGTGCCACTTGAGCAACGGTCGTTTTTGGTCTTCAAGTTGTTGTCGCTGCACCTAAGGTTGTTGTTGTTAGTCCACCTATTATTGTAGTTGCTGTCGCATTGCTGAGGAGAGAAGAGTGTGATTGATGCAATAATCATCTATTAACCATTTTGAAATTCATAGAAATCCTGACAACTAGAATGTTCTCGAAATAGTGTCCACATTGTTTTAGCATATACCACACAAGTGAATAGTGCTTTTCGCGCGCACTGATTGGCTTGTTCGGAAGTGAATAGCAAATATTATTTACCTCCGAACCGCCGATGGAATAAAACCGCGCCTCAACAGTTTCAGTTCCGAGAATGTTTCTGTCATTGAAAGAAATAAATGAGTTTTTTGGTATCTGCGTGGTATATACTAAACTAATTATTCCCCTCAGTGTCGAAGAGAGTGGAGAATATCCGCCACTGAACACTTTCACTTCGGTGAATAATTGCTAATTAAGAGGCTGACTTTTATCTTGGTGAAAGACCCCAACGTCTTGACCATTCAAGTTTACAACTTTGCCTGGTTTATAGTTTATTTGGACCTCCTTCTTGATTTGAATTTTATAAAATATCTTTTGATGAGTTCCATTTCGTTAAAGTATCATTCATTTCATTGTCTCTTTATGGGCACCTTATCTACGATTGGCTTTGTCCATCAAGCCGAAATAACTTCTCCATACAATATTATAACTAAATACGATATCAAGGTCATTAGAATAAAGGGACGAGGCTCGTTGTTCGAAGGCCCATAAGCGCTAACCCGACGTTAAATTTTAATCCAAGTTTCTTTATTCCTTTTTTCAAAGCCTTTTTTCGGATAAGGTCTCTCTAATCTTTTTAGAAAATTCAATCACCAGATCGTAAGCCAAAAAATTTATGCTGAATTCTCTCTTAATTAAAGCTTTCCGATCTGAAATCAGATTTCACACTAACCCAAAGCTTTGAACAACACGGCCCTGCTGGGGCACGTTTTTCGAAAGTCCCGGTCACTTGTCGGGCCCGTAAAGCTGCTCTGTTTACATTCAAGATGGGGATTTCAAAACTTTTGAAAATAATACAATAAAACTATTAGCTAAAGAAACAAAATGGACTGATTTGGGTGCCAGAATTCGAACCTACTTTCCTATCCTTTAAATTTTGATTTTAAAACGTGGCTTCGGGCCCATTAAGTTACCGGGACTTTCGAGAAACGGGCGCCTGAGCACTAACTAAGAAGCTCTTGATTGTTGAACAAATTCTCCTTGTCAGCACCCTGGGACATTTATAGAGAACAGTATGGAGAATATGCATACTGATGTTAGGGTGTCAAGGGTTAAAATGTTATTCCTTCATGCAACTCAAAGTTAATCTTCCGAAGGATTCACTGTCTGCGAATTATTTTACCTGGCATTGATGTCCTGGTCGTAAGGCTCCGTGACGAAAACACTGTCGTCTTCCACCTTCATTAATCACGCAGTATCCAGGTTTCACGCGGCACGCATCATTGTAGCACTCCTCGCAAGAGAGGCACGAGAAAGGTGTGCCTGAGCAAGCCCCACTGGAACAGCGATCATTTCTAGTGCATGCCTTTCGGTCGTTACACGGCAAATTGTTGTCGTTTGTCCAAGCATTCTTGTTTGCACTGTTGCAATTCTATTGGAAGAAAGGACAATACGCAACAAACGTTAATAACTAATAGTTTTTCCTGACATCAAGGCTTTAAGAATGTATTGGAATGTATCTAATCGCAGCAATACTTTCATTGCGGTTTTTTTCTCCATTAAGTTTTTTTTTTTTTTTTTATCAAGCGTTATTTCAGTAGGGTGCATCTTCTACCAGCTCTAAGTTGTTGAAACGCCGTATTAACTCAAACACTCATCGCTCCCGAATAAACAATGCAAGTCCGAATAAAAGTCTCTCCCGAATGAGGTCGCGTTTAGGATAGCAAGGTTTAAGCGCCGGGGTCTCGGTGTTGCGTCAATAGCCTATTTCTGAATTACCCTCGGCCTCTTTTTCAAAGCGAGGCCTGGTGCTCAACCATTCTTGTGAGAATGAGTTTAATTTGCATGTGAATGAAAACTTATTTTCATATGAAAGGATGAGCACCAGGACTCGTTTTGAAAATGAGGCCAAGGGTAATTCGGAAATGGGCTATTCGAAGACTTCTTTCACACGCTGTAGTACTTAAGTCGTAGTTGGACTATCTCGACGGAAAGAGATGGAAGTAATTAAGAAAGCACAGATTCAGACGTAAAGGTGGCGTATGCTTCCATGCTATAACACGTGGACTCAAGATCGAAGTTGAGTGAAGAAACCACGGTTTTAAAATGCAATTAATCTCTTTGTCGCGGCCATTTCTTCATATGCGGCGGCCTCAAATAAGGGCCACGGACCTTGTTCCAGTAAATAGGGTACTTTCTCTCGACTTGCTAGTCAAAGCTCGGGCATGACAAAAAGGGAATAAAACAATCTTACCTGACACTGGTTACTTGGGTTCACTCTGCCATACGCATAACACTGGTTGTTGATTTTACATTGCCTCAGCTCACATTTTAAACCCACTTTGGTGTAGCACGAATGACAACTGCATGTAAAACTACCGAACGTATTGGTACAGGTATGCTGGCATGGTCGGGTATTACACTCATTGACGTCTGTTCAAAGAAGAAATAGGACAAAAAGAGTAGGAAACCTGTAAGTAAGTCGGCTGAATCAGATGTAATATGCCAGCAAGGCTCTCATTATTAGGGCACAGGCAGACCACACTACGGTGGCCGTGGTTAATAATTGTTGACTTGAGACGAACAAAATCCGTAAGGGTTATGAGCTCTGAAAATTGCTTGTCTAAATTACATTTCGATTTGAAAATCTCAAGAAGGCCACATAAAATTTTTCGCCTACATGGGCCGTTTGTAGCGTCTTTTTACTCAATTACTTTTAGCCAGAAGGAGAGTCTCCCTTTTCCCCGACTAGTCTCATATCATCCCGCGGGCAGTAGCCTGTTTGCAGGCGGTACTTTGTGTTTTCAAGCGCGAGACTCGGTGCGGCGAATATTCGGTTGCCATATTGGCATAATTAATTATTCATAACCGATAAAGCGAAAAATTTGAACGCGACCTCGCTTTGAAGAGCCCTAAAAAAAGAGACGAATGGGTTAAAATTGGCTCACTAGGCTTCGTAAAACTCCCTTTTCTGAGTTTTAGGAGTATTTGCTTCTAAATCAACGCACGGCTTTTTGATGTATCTGCAATTTGCTCTTTAAATGAACGTAAGTAAAAGTAGAATCATTTTGCACTTGAAAATACTCAAAGTTCGGGCATTTTTTTGTGTGAAAATCAATTTTCAAAAGCGAATTCCTGAAAACCTTTATTACCCTAAAAGTACAAGCTAAGGTTCGCATTGTCTCAGATAAGATACTGCAATTTCGCAAGGAATTTTCGAGTTTCGGCGTGGCGGAGTTTTTGGTAGTGAAAAAGGGCATAGCCGACATAGATGTAGGGTTTTTATGTTGTTAATGCCAAACCCTGCAAACGGCCGTTTTAGGCTTGAGCATTTTCAATGGCTAGATTTTAAAACTCGCGGGTTGAGTGTGATAAAACGAAACGATAGCACAAACAATAACTTGCAAGGCCTTTGTTTCATAACTCCGCGCTAACAAGGTAAATGAGCTAGACGTTTATTCCCTGTTGAAGAAAGGACGCAAGATCTCGTTGATTGTGTCAGTGTCAGTCAGTTAACACTACAGATCTAAAATTTTTTCGCTACCGCCAGAAAATGTTGTGAGAACAATAGGCATTCTGCCCAACGTCATCTCTGGTTTCGGAAAATTCACGATTTTCCTTCTTCACTTACCCAGTGTTTTCATTTTTGTTGACTCTCTGTCAATCAGTGGGGTGTCGAGGATAGTAATAGTCATCGCCCTAAAGAAGACCAGTCTACGGTCACATTTTCCTCCAGTTGGTTAAGGAGGGGTTCGTTATTTACTTTGATAAATTGTATGTTTGGCACATATTTACAGTATGTTTGCATAGCCGTGCGTGATAGAATGACGTAACCAAGAACAAATTTGCGCGTGGGCTCATGATCGAATAATTTTGCGACCTTTACCCTTTCCACTACAAGACTCAGAGTATTGTCACGACCAAGACGAGAAAACTCTGAACTTTCACATTGCACAATATAGAATTAGGTAGAACCAGTACTCGATAAAATCGACATTCCGTGGCCTATAAAACGGAAATAAAACTAACTAGTATACTCTTTCTTTTTTTTTATAAGAACGTCTAATTTTGGAGCTGAGGCTGAACGTTCTTAAATTTTTTTGCGAGTCGAGGCTGAAAACATTCTTAAGATGTGCGCAAATTACATGGTAGGCACTATTTCAGACTTTGTATCACCTGATGACTTTTATGATGTGGAAGTTAATTTGAAACAGTTATAAATAAGAACTGCTGATTATGACAAACCGAGGTGGGTGTCACCGATGTTAATGTTATACAAAACATGCCCTTAATTAATTGAGTATTTTGGTTAAGTTACATTTGCTACCTTGATTTTATGCTTGTCATTCAATATACAGAATAGCAAAATCAAAACATTCTTAATCGACTCTCATCCCGAGGAAAGTTCTTAAAACGTTCTTAAATAGACCCTTCCACGATTTTAGCGGTCATATTGGTTGGGGGTGAAACAAAACCTCGTTGCTTAGCAACGAGCCATAGAATCTCTTATGATAAGAAGACGCGCATCGCTTCCCTCGTTTAATTTTCGCTTTGTTCAGGAACAAAAATTAATATTCATCGCTGAAAAAGAGAAGACATTAATAAAGGTGAGTGACTTTTTCTCCTCTTAGCGACAAATGTTTTCTTCTCTGCTTTTTATGGGAATATTGAGATCGTTTTTTCTTTGGACGTGATCTCAAGCTCGACATTCTTATAAAAAAAGGTTCTCATTAAAAAAAAAAGTACTCTTTCAAGTTAAAATACAGTACTTAAAATCTTATTCCACTTTTAGTTCTCTTGATAGTGCGCTGATTGTTTCAAGGCGATTTTTCTAGGAAGGAATTCATCCTACGCATTTGGTTGTTTGTCAATGCTGAATTCCAGAACGTGCCGCTACAACGCTCTCAAACAACTGCTCTCACGCGTGTGTGACATATTTCATCTTGAACTGTCATCATGACGAATGCCACTCCTGTGTTCGAAATCATGCCCATGCACACAATTCTGCAGATTAACTTAAGCGTAAAAGTAAATAATGGTTTTTTTCGTTTTGTACATCAAGAATCCCTGTTTAAAGCTTGTCAAACTACAAAAGAAAAGAAAAAACCTCGCTTCTCCGCATCAGAAGTCGGCGCTTTAAAGCGTGAAAGTTTATCATGTTTACCATAGTTAGTCCCCTCTACTATGTGTTTACTAATGAAGTGTTGGATTATCAGCTTACACAGATATTGAATCCATTTGGAACAGTTGCACAATGCGAACACGGGGAGCAATGAAACAATGACGAACTTCCAATTTTATGTTTTCCATCGCTAAAAAGAAAATTAAAATATTGAAATTTTTTCCATGTCAGCTTCGTAAAATCTTGTCAATGGTTGTCGATTGCCAGCGCTCACTCACAAGTGTTTAATTTCGCGTTCATTCATGCATGGATCTACTTACCTCCTTCGCAACAAGTTCCCTGATATCCAGGGCGACACCTACATCCACTAGCATAAGGGGTTCCTCCGTTCTTACACTGATCTCTGTTACAGGCTTGTACCTCATCTAAACGGTACGGGCAAGATCCCCCGCAAGCTTCTACCACAGTTTTTGTTCTTGTTCTTCTTTGAGTTCCGCTTGTTCCGCACCGATGGCTGCAGCTACTCCATGAGGTCCACGAGCTAACTTGACAATTTCGTGCACCACACGGAGGAGGAGAACGTCGCCGTCGTCGTCGCCGCCACGAATCGATATCTCTCGCCAGAACTAGCACCATCAATACGATAGCTAAAAACTCGCTAATCCGCATTTTTTTTTTTTTTTTAGTAAATTAATTTCTGGCGAAGTTTTATCGTCTAAAATGAAAAGGAAGGTTGTAGACCCCGAAATAAACCAGGATAACGCAACGCAATGACGATGGCTCGAAACGGTATCACCTCACTGTATCAAATGAGACTGTTTTAGGGTCAAAATATATAATCTACTCGACCACTCTTGAGAAATGCTAACCCTTCTTGCAGAAGAGTGTGTTTTGGGTTCTTCAAAAATTCGCTGTTTACCTGCACGAAAGAGGTTGACGGAAAACGTGACCATTACTTTGTGATGAAACAATATTGGTGGTGTTATTGTTTCATAACCCTGTTTATCATTTCTTATGTAAGGTTAATTGCGTCATGTCTTAATGTGAAGGTGTCAAATGAGTACCAAACTCCCCGTTTCAAAATTTCAGTAAGCACTTAGGACTTAGTGCAGCTGCAGCCATGCAACGGCTACGTAGTTTTGCACTAATATTGGAGATTATTTTAATGATTCGCCATGCCAGAGCTGCGGCAGTGTTAGGACAGAGACTCTCGTTTGTAAAGCAAAGCACATGTACTTATGATTACGAAGTCGCAGTTCATACTGCAAGAGGCACACGCACTACAGCCAGTGAAGGATTTCATCTTCACGCTCTGGTGAGTAGAAAAATGTGTTCACAGTATTTTTACTGCTTTGACGCGCTCGAAGAGACGTGCTTACACATCATTGAAGCGAGGAAGATGCGATTTGTCTCGGTCATTTCATTTGTTTCCGCCGTGTTTATATGGCTCGCGGCACATATTGGCGGGAGCGTGCGTGACAAGTTGCACAACTTTACATCATTGCAAAAGCTGTTATTCGTGTCGCAATGCCCTCTTTTGAAAGAGTGAGATGTTTTGATTTGAGATGAGAGAAAGAGAGAGAGAGAAGAAAATATTGGTTCGCTAGATGTCAATTAAAATGTAAACCTCTTTTATTTGAATGCGGAATGGCTTGTCTTGGAACGTGACTTAATAAGTAAATATTTAAACACTTTTAATGTAAACTATTACTTACAATCTGCCTTTTCATATATCCTCGCAACATTACGCATTTCAGCATGTCTCAGACAAAGGGGTGTACCCCTTTGTTAGTTTTTCAGGATAATTTTTTTCCATGTAGGTCACGTTTCTCTGTAAAATTTCGAAAGCATGTTTGTATTTACTCCCTTTCTCAGAAAAAAAAAAACCGGGAGCGTTTACTTAACAAATTGTGTCAAATGTTTTGATGAGTTTGTCTCTTCTCCACACCCACTTGCAAAAAATGTATAAACTCAGTAAGGAGAAATTACGCGTTAATCTGGATTTCTTCCAAAGTTTCCATGTTGTTCGTTTTTCTACTAGCATTACCTACCAGCAAGGAAATAATCTTATAAAGCTCTTTCTCTAGGATTAATTGGTATATGTTCACTTTGAAAGCAAATTTGGAACGCTGGGGCATATTTGGGAATACACACGTATGCATTTGGAAAGAGACCTACTCTTCATTCTTGTTTTGAAAGCCTACGATAATCCCGTGTCTCAGTTTCGTTAGAGTTAGTCGTTCTTTGTCCCCACACATTTGTATTCACTGATTTACACTGACTAAATGTTCCCTTGGTTACGAATTCTTACGTTCAGCGAATTCAAAACTTTGCCGCTTTTCTTGACAGACGTTTGACAGCTATGTGAAATGAATGAGAACCTGTTTTAGGAACAGAAAAAAAAAAACCTATTATACTATCTTGAGCGTGTTTTTCATGTATCGCACATTCCTGTTTTCTTGAGCGGTGGTGTTTGTGGGATCATCTGAATAGTTTCTTGCGTGGGCCAATGAAATGGGACGATGAGTTAATTTCCTGTTCAGAAAAACATTTTTTTTTCACTCAAACCGATATACCAAGGTATTTCACTTCAATATCGGTAGAATATTATCAGTCAGAAGAAATTGTTTGATGTGACGTTTCACACATGTTGAGCAGTGATAACGACTCCATTGGCTGATCCCAGAGTCAGATTTTCTTGTTCGTAAATAGTTTATTTATATATTTACGATCAACAGGAAGAGAACAAACAGCTATGTACTGCAACGAGCTTTGAACGTCTGAAACACCAATACCTTTACCTAAGCCTCGAAATTTCTATTTTGGTACGGATCGCGGATTGTCCAATATACCTGTACGGCTTGGAATTAATAATTGTGTCCCATTCGTCATTTGGTTCAAATTACTTAGACAGGGGTCGCACTAACGCTTCTTTTGTGTTTATATTGGACAAAAAAAGTGTCATCGCATGCGTGAGACAAGTACGACCCTTTTGTCGCGACCAGACATAACTATGTCCGAAGGACCTAAAGATCAAAAAAGCCAATGTCCTGCCTTGAAGCAGGTCATATCTTGTCTAATGACCTTAAAAAAAAAAAACAATTTTTTGCTTTTCTTCTGTCTTAACGTCAACAAAGTCCGAAATACCGGCAAAAATTGGATTTTAGAAATTCTGCAAAGACAACACGTCACCAGTTTTCTTTACAACGTTTCATCTGGTCCTTCGGGCGAATTTCAACCCATACCAATTTACAAATTTGCACTATTCACCTGATTATTCTCAGTATGGGGATTAATTGTTTTCACCCTTTGGCTCGCTGATCATTTCCCATTTTTTCGCATCTGTCGACGTCGGTTTAAAGTGGCAAGAGCCAACATTTGTCGTTGGCGAGTGTTGTAAAATGAGTACAAACCAATAGGGTTTTGTACATTGAACAAATTAAACAGAGATTGAAGAAATGTCGCTAATAAAACGAGCACCTGCCTAATGTCTACAAAATTATATTTAGTGCTCTTTTCGTGCGTGAAATATTAAGAGTTGACAGTCTGGTTTCAAATATCATTTATGTCGCACAAGTGCGACCTCCATGACTCCCGTGGTGTAAATGTCGCGACATATTTGTGGGACATCTTATGGCGCGACATAAAAAAACTAAGGCCACAGCGCGACCCCTGCCTTACACTTCCCCCGGATCACATAAAGATCACATCAAGATTGACAACAAAATTGGTTCTAAAATAGAACATATTAGAAAATAATCAAATTTTGATATGTTGATTAAACTGAACAGGGGACATTCCATTAAAAAGCACGGTCGGGTCATTTCTTTTTCGACGGTGGAGAATTCTCAACCGGATCATTCGGATTGCGAATGACGAACTGAAAAATGCGCCTTTACAACGCACTCAGACAGCTGCTATCACGCTGTATGATATTTCATTATTAAGTAAACACATCGAACTGTCATCGATGACAGTGCCGCGCTGTGCCGTGCTGTGTTCGAAATCATGTCTAACACACTATTCTGCACATTAACTTAAGCGTAATAGTAGACAATCGTTTTTTCCTTTTGTACATTAAGAATCCCTGCTTAAAACTTGTCAAACTGCGAAAGAAAAGAAAAAAACTCGCTCCCCCATGTCTGAAATCGGCGCTTTGAAAGTGTGAAATGTTATCGCATTTACTGAGGTTCACACGTCGAATTGCACATGTGCCGAACTTAATGCGCGTAAATGCATGTGAAGTAGATGTTTGAATAAATCAAACTCGACTGGTTTAAATTAAATGTGACGTTTGCCGTATCTATGACTGAAACAGTCGAAGATTCGACTTAGGTTCAACTTTTGTTTCAAACATCGCATCTCACATGTGCCGAATTTAATACATAAATTATAGGAAATTATTATGATTCATTTATTACCCACAATTCGCCAGGATTTCCGAGAAAGCCATGCGCGAAAAAGCCAAAACAGCAGAAAAAAATGGTGGAAGACTATGGAAT